TTTTTGTCTTTTTATGGGAGGATCTTTGGGGGGTGGGGGATCTTTAGGGGGAGGTAGCAGGTAAACAGTATTATGCCACATTGAAGTGGGGTACATCATCTGAAAGCTGAGAACCTGAAGAGTCATTTGAGAAACAGCTCAGAAATTTGTGTAGTTTTAAATCAGAAATAAAAACTAAATAATCAATGAATTCATTAATTTCAATAAATTGTATGTAGGGCCATAGGCACCGCAGCGGATTTCCTGTTCTACGGCCTGATGTCACAGCATCTATGAAAACCAGAATCACCTCCAACGCGCCGAAGCTCCGGAGCCGAGTTTTAACGAAGGAACTCGAAGGACCAACCCGACCGCGACGAAGTCGTCTCACAGTAAGAGGCTTGGTGCCTGAGCATAGTTGGGTCATAATGAAAACAGAAATAAAAACTACGTCTTCGGACAATATGATGTAAGTATATGATAGCCATTCCCATGCTCATTTAGGTCTTATAGGTTGTTGCAGCATTTTTTTCGTTGATACAATTTGTTACACAGATTTGGTTCTAACAATTTTTACTATTTGAGAATTGATTAAAAAGAAATAACACATTAGGACACCAAGGAAAACCATAGCAAAAGGCATGCTGTGATTTGGGATTAAAAACTTTTGACATTTGGAGATTTTTGCAAGAATTGCATTTTTCAGCCATTGGATGGCAAGCACTTCTGTTCTGGAAACTGCTCAGAACCGGCTTTATTGTTATTATACCTCAGATATAAGCTATGCATCCTCTGAATGCCCTTTGTCGGCAGTTTGTGGTTGTACAGTTTCATGAGACTGATTAACCTAGCTATCACGGCAGGTCATTTTATACAGTGATGTCAAGTTTTTAAAAATGGGGACTAACTATGCTTGCATATGCTCTCAGTTGTAATTCCTAGTTGATTCTACCGCAGATTGTGCTGCTCACCTTAAACCACTGCCAAGCTCTGGCCTACACGACAGCTCCGAGGTAAACTCAGGGGGCATCCAGGTTGTGTCACAGCCTTGAGTCCGCCTTGTGGGAATTCTGGTTCATCATCACACCAAATTAGAGCCCACAACTGTCCAGCGAGAGGCCAGGCCTGTATAAATTGAGTTAAGCGAAAATCACTTTGCTTCTCAGCCCCAGCCAAACAGCCCCACAAACAATAACCTCCAAATCTAAACAAAACATGCACAGTGATTGTCGAGGATGTGACTATAACCTTCCTTGTGGATATGGGGGCAACATTATCTTTGCTCAACTTGGAAACATACAAGTTGTTCGCCCATCATCTTCTCAGTGCCCCATTCACTGCTTTACTGGGCCACGGAAACACAGCAATGGCCATAATGTGGATTTGGTTCTCCTGCCAGTCAAGGTCGGGGCGCAGGCCCATCAGACGTTCAAATTTCCCATGTGACATCACGCAGCAAACCTAACGGGGTTGAACATGTTCCTCGTCACTGTTGTAGATGACAGCAGTGCAGAAATTACGACCGTGGCCACAGCAATTCAGCACAAATGGCGAGGCTTATTAACCCTAACCCTCCAACAATGCTCATTTACATGTATAAAAGAATAACGTAGAGTAAAAAATGTGAATTCAAAACATAAAGTCATAAGTTTAAATATAAGGAAAACATATACAAAATATAAAATAAAATAAAATAATATGTTGTGTTGGCAGTAATTGCATAATTAATAAACTGTAAAGTAAACAGGGAGGGAGTTATATAATAAGTTTAAGTATGGAAACAAACTGTTAAAGTGCCCAAGTTATGTGTGTTTATGTGATATAGACAAATCAGGATGAGGAGCGGGAAGGAAAATGGGCTCTTTTTAAACAGAGCTTTTGCTCATTTAAATGTTTCTACAAACTCCTGGTTTACAATAAAGGCATTACATGCAGGAGCAAATCATAAAAATGTCACACTTTGTTACTCAACATATATTGAGGCCTGTATTTACTAGATTGGGAGTTTCTGCCGACATATTTAGGAAAACCTTTACCCGGAGATCAGCAAAAACATTACATTTTTCTTTTTAACATTAAATTGACTTGGAGATTAAACTCGATGGAAGAGGTAATTTTCTTTTCAAAGCAAACACGTCTGCATAAACTTTACTCTGTCCTCTTTCGTCCTCACACACGTTCTAATAAGATGCATATAAGTCCAAATTGTGAAATACCCATGAGACACATAAATGAACATTGTAAAATATTTTCCCACCTGTCTCCTCAAATTCTACTTTCCCAGTGTCACAGCATGAATGCTTACGGGGAAAAGGGTTGCACTGTGCTGAAGCTACACCACCATCAAAGTCTGTTGTCCCTCTACACCTTCTGTGGGAATTAAAACTCAAAGCTAGATAACAAAGAGCCCTTATTTATTTTCCTCATTTATGACCATAAACTCAACTACCTCTCGTGTTTGTCGTGATTCACACTGTTTGGAAAACCTTTTTTATTGACAATATAATTTATGGACTGTTTCATACCCTGATTGCTGAATTCACTCCTCTTAACTGGGCCTCGAGGGGGGCGAGTGATCAACAACTGCTTCAGTTTGGAATCGTGTTTCCTTTAGGGATTAGGAATTGTTCCTTTACAGATTGCCATGCCTCAAACGCCGGTCCAGTAGTATTGCTGCTCTATTTTTCCATCAACACTGATGAATATGATCATGGCTCAATTGCTTAGTGTTTATGCATATTGCAGGTTAGCTAGGTTACAGTTTGCCCATGAATAAATACTGCAGAAAATACTCCTTAATACCTTAAAAGTTCCAATGTTTTGCTTCCTAGCTGCTGGGCAAAAGTGAAGGGAGAGGATGCAAGATGTAGATGAATATATTTATTCAGTTGACCTCGTGTATTTGCACGTATTGTCAAAAAGGTAGACTCGAAGAGTAAAACGCTTAACCCTTACATACTGTTAGGGTCAAATTTGACCCGTTTTGACATTTGACTCAGTAAAAATACACTAAACGTCATTCCTTTAGCCTGAAATTTGATGACTTTTCCTAAAGTGACCCAAAATACACAAAAATTTAAATATTTTAGAATGTTATACTTTTGAACAGGTGCTACACATTTTTGTACGCTGAGGCTGTTTCATGTCAAATTTGACCCGTGTCTATTGAGATGGATTTTAGATTTACCAGTGTGGGTCAAATCAAGGAAAATGGTGGTTTTAGGGAATCTTGAAACTGTGAAACTGTACAGGCCATGTCTGTGTGTATTTTGTATGGCACAGTGGTGACAGAGTTCAAGGGGGACCTCGACACTGTCACGAGAACTGTCTGTGTTCCCACAACATTTGCCCAGGTTCCCGCAGAGACAGACACCTGCTGGTCTTTGAAGGAGCATGGGGGGAGCCTCGAAACAGTGAAATAGTAAAACAGCACAGGAGTGATCAAAGGGAACAGAAGTCATCCACAGGTCAGAGAGGTGCCTTGTCACAGACACAAGATCTGCACCTGCAAGCACAAGCACCTGCAATGTTATCAAATAATCTACAAAGTAACACATTTTAATCAATTTGGGTTGTGAGGATGGTGGGGGGGGGGCGTTGATAACATGATAAAGGTACCTGAGCTGCCCTTTCAGTGACTGACATCATGGCAGCAAGATTTAGTGTGCAACAGGCCCTCGGTCTGTTCGTCCAAGATGAGGAGGTTGATAGTGATTTGGAGGATGTGTCAGAGCAGGAAGACAGCGTGGAAGAAAACTCTGATCACTGACAGATTATTGACTAGTTTATAATAAGCATTTTGTTATGTAATGTTTTGTGTTCTAAGTGGTAAATGTTGAATTAATATTGATAATTGTGATTTCTTATGATATAGCAGTGGGGACAGCGTTTAATGGTTGCAATGATTAAACATAGTTATATTATCAATGCCAACAGTTCTAGAATGTCCATGCCATTTTCAAATTCAATACAATATGTTTAAATCATTATGGCTTTTATGTTTTTATGTCTTATGTAAAACAGGACATGATAATGTGTAATAGTAGTTGTTTTTCTCCAAAAACGAATGTTGTAAAACTTAAAAAATGCACTCTCCCTGCTCTCTGAAACATTTATTAAGGATTAATCATACATTTATTAATGAGACATGGGCTATTTAGACATTCTAAATAGATCTGTAGTTTAAAATTTGGTATAGACACTTACTATGAGGGAATACTGTGAAGGCATTAAATATAAACAGTACTATATGAGGGTTAAGGCCTCAGCTGACACACCTGAGACACCAGCCTGCAGGGAGCCGGTGCAGACAGCTGCATAGATAATCTATCTGTTGCCTGAGACGCATGAGTGAAAAACATGTGACACGGTTGCTGTCTAGACGGGGAGATAAACAATTGTGGTTTGTATTCGTTCAATCAAACATTACAGCCGGGGTTGATGCAGACAAACCTGTCTCATGCACTCTACTGGGAGCACTTGGTTGAACAAGAAATATGTCTTTATGGGTAGTAACTAATAGCCTTAATTCCAGTGTATTTAAAGAAAAATGTGATTCATTTTAATTCAGTTATACGTGTACAATGCAGTTATAGAATTAAACATTCAAAGCACAAACGTTTATGTGTATTTTACTATAATGTGATGTAGAAACATGAGGATGACGTGTTAGATCACGAGGCAGGAGAATGTGTTCTTTTTTTTAAACAGAGCTTTTGTCCCTTGAAATGTCTGCATAAATTCATGGTTTACAAAACTGCATTACATGCAGGAACATAACATAAAAATGTCCATTTGGTCATATATTTTACATGTATGATCAATGTAAGACATATAAAACATACACATAACAGATTAAACACAACATGTTGCGTTGTTGGTTGATCTTCAACAAACACTGAAAATTGAAACGCTTTGTTGTCAACATATATATTGAGGGTTGTATTCATCAGTCATGTAGAGCAGATTGGGACATGCAGACATAATGATCCTCAAATAAAAACATTGCAACTTTTTCTTTCTCACATTCGATTGAATTGGAGATTGCACTCGACGGAGGAGTAAACTAAACCTACAATTCTGTTTCGTATCTTTGTCAGTTTAAATCCATATATTAGAGGATTCATCACAGGAGAAATGAGCAGGAATTCTATAGCGATGAAGTTTTGAATGCTCTGAGGTAAATCTGTGGAGCCAAATCGCATATGCATCAAATCAAAAAGCATTGCAACAAGGAATGTGACTAAAGAGACTAAATGAGGCACACACGTCTGCATAAACTTTGCCCTGTCATCTTTGGACCTCACACAAGTTCTAATCATATGCATATAAGTCCAAATTATGAAAAACCCATGACATACATAAATGAATATTGTAAAAAATGCAGTTATATTGTTTGAAAAGGTGTCAGTGTCGGGGCAGGTGAGTTTGACAATTACCCAGTTCACACAAAACAGTCTGTCAATTTTTGCACCACATAACTTTAGTCTTGACGTTAGCAGAATATTGATGGAAAAGAGGCTGAAAGGTGTGAGCCAGGAGAAACATATCAGCTGAGAGAGCCTCCTCTTTGTCATGACAAAGTGGTAGTGAAGTGGTCGACATATAGCCAGATATCTGTCGTAGGCCATCACTGCTAGAATGGATAAATCACAACAAGCAAATGAATACATGACAAAAGCCTGTAAAAGGCATCCTTCATATGAGATCTGTTGAGAGGAAGAAAACAAATCAAAAAGGAATTTGGGGTAGAAACCTGTGGTCCCATAAAGTCCATTAATGCAAAAACTGCACAACAAGATATACATGGGTTCATGTAGGTGTTGATCTAAGATAATGATCATGATGATAGAGACATTGAAAAACACAATCACACAATAATACAGTAAAGTGAATGTCAACAGAGTTACTATGTAATTATTTGTCTCGTTTAACCCTGATAGAAAGAAAACTCTTACAACAGAAACATTATCCATGATAAGATAACAGATTTTCCCACCTGTCTCCTCAAATTCTACTTTCCCAGTGTCACAGCATGAACGCTGACAGAAAAAGGGTTTCACTGTGCTGAAGCTACACCCCCATCAAAGTCTGTTGTCCCTCTACACCTGCTATTATAACACCTTTAGCAACAACAAATCAAACTGGGAATTTAAATGCAAAGCTAGACAACAAAGTTAAAGTAGAAGTGATCAAAACAAGCCCACTGTGTCTGTGTTTCTGATAACATATATGTGTGTGTGATTTTGTGATTTTTTTTGTGACAATTGAGTTGAGCATGTAAGTTCTTTTATTCAGTAAAATCCCAGGTACTGCAGTGATATCAGTTTAAATCACTGTATAAATGCCCCATGATTCAGTATAAAGTTGGATTTTTTTTGTATGTATTTTCTTTGGTGTCATGACTGGGGGACTTTAAAAGTTTTTTAGTGTAAATGCAGTCTATCCCATTACCTGCAGGTAATGGGATAGAGCAAAGGTAAAACACATATGCTGTGCCTGCAATGAAGTTTCAATGACAGAGGCCTTTAAAATAATGAGGAAGATATCCAAAAACAACAGCAGAAGTTGATGAGCAATAATTCACATTTTGTGTTGCTGTATTATGTTTTGGGACTTTGGTTCTTCATGGAGGTGAACTTTATTTGACTCAAGTACAGCACAGCCTCTTTCCTCCTGGTCTCAAAAGATTAAACACCAAAATCTCTTTCCTAAAATACATAAATTGTCTCCCGCCATTGACTCCAATACATATTTTTTTCCGAGTTAAGGTCCCATGGTGGTCCACTGGCAGGGAGGAGACTTCGTCTGTCTGTTGCGTGTGTTTGTTTTATTGTAATAAAGTAAAAAATAAAATTACATATTAAAAATAAATGATAACCTTTAGTTCTATTACATTGACTGCTTTCATTTTAGTAGAACAGTCATTTTCCATGTTTTGAAACAAGACATTAAATACAAACATTAAAAATGAAACTATGCATGAAACATTCATAAAGTTAAGCATGTAAAACTGGCACAAACTGTTTGCTCCAAATGACAGTGAAAAGTAGGTTTCAGTGTAAGATATAAACACCCAAAAAAGGAGTAATGTGACGCTAGAGAACAGAACACACACTTGCATTTACCAACGTTGTCATTTAAATCCAAAATTCAACTTTTAACTCAGTTGGATAGCTTATAATGTCATTGCCTCACATTTGTCCATAAACATAAATGTTATTTTATCGGGTTGAATGGCTTCTCTTTCAGTTTGTGTTGGTGGCATTTAAAGGAGGCATTTGAAGGTTTGCCTAAGTTAAACATATTGTACAAAAACAGTGTTATTTATAATATTAGTATTCAGGCCCTAATTTTACAGACAACAGGCTGTGTTCAGGTACATGAAAGTGTCTTTTGGATTCCACTGTGGACAGATAATATTTCCCAACTAATTTACACGGCTGTCATTGAGCAAAAGATATTTTTAATGTCATTAATATTACACCTGAGCCTACCTTTATTTCTATTGAAATACATACATGTATAAAGATGATGATTTACACGTGACTGCATAAATGGGCATCACCATAAACGTATTAGTCTAGAGACGTTATAAATGGTAAAATTCTGTTTCTTATTTGTGTAAGTTTTAAACCATATATGACAGGATTGATCATTGGGGGAATAAGGAGAAATTCTATTGCCATAAAATTCCGGGTACTTTGTTCTAACTGTTTTGAGTTGAATCGCATGTACAACAAATCAAACAACACACACACAAATAAAGTAAGTAAACAGAATACATGTGGAAGACATGTCTGCATAAACTTTGTCCTTTTCTCTTTGGATTTTAGGCATGTTCTGATCAGATAAACATAAGACCAAACAATGAAGAGAAAATGGCCAGAATAAAAAGTATAATTAAAAGCTGGAATAGCAATGTTTGCTATGGAGGCCGAACAAGCTAGTTTACCAATCAACCAATTCACACAGTAGATCTTTGGTATATGTGAGCCGCATAACCTCAATCTTGATGTTGTTACTGTACTCATGAATACCAAATAAATGGGTATAAGCCAAGCAAAAAACACAAACACACAAACTCTGTGTTTAGTCATCACAGAGTGGTACACCAGAGGGCGACATATAGCCACATATCTGTCGTAGGCCATGAGCACTAGAAGAGAGAAATCAGCACAGGCTGAAGAGTGCAACACAAAACCCTGCAGAAGACATCCAGCATAAGAGATGACATGAGTGGTAGACAGAAGATCCATGAGGAATTTGGGGTAAAAGCCTACTGTCCCATAAAGTCCATTGATGCACAGGTTACAGAGGAAGATATACATGGGCTCATGAAGCTTTTTGTCCACAATGATTGTCACAATAATAGTCAGATTTACCAGCCAAATCACACAGTAACACAACAAAGTCAGAGCAAAGAGGATAACTCTGTAGTTGTTTGTCCCACTTAAGCCTGACAGAGTAAACATAGTTATTACTGAAACGTTATCCATCATAATATTTTACAGTTTTGTGTTTTTTAGATGTTAATGCCACAGAGAGAAGATATTGTATTTGCAAACCCTACTAAAAGTACATACAGTTCTGTGTCCGTCCACGTGTCTGAATTTTTGATATCTGTTCACAGCAACAACAGATTATGAACCATTGAACATGGAGATTCAACCAGTGAGCTACGCATCACTGATTGGATTGTCCAATCAGCGTGTTGGAACTCATACCATAGGAACGGATGGAATAATTGCAGTTGTCATCATTGCAGCCGTAAACCTAACTAAAAAAAGGTAAATACTATAAGCTTACATGTGATGTGGAGCTTTTATTCTGACTGACTAAATATTTAGGAAAATTTAAACTGTAAATTATTTCTTCGTTTATTTTTACCAGCTTGGTTGGAAAATTTTACAAAATGACAGCAAAGTTGATCTTAAGTCTACAATTCACAACCTCACAACACAAACGTCAAAATAACTTGTATAGCACATGTATATAAGATAAGACATTTATGAGAACGATTAGATGATAATAACAAGTATAATTTATTTTGACTCTGAGGTTAAGGGACATTTGTGAGCTTGGTAACTATATTGGAAATTGTTTTCTAGATGTTTTTTCTTTGAGCATTTCTACTAATTACACATTCTTAGTTTTACCCACAGAAGAATATATGACCCTGGTCTAAAAACATTCACCACACAGAGGGGCACGTTTTCAAATCCCATGTACAACAAATCAAAAATCAGACACACAACACACGTGCCAGAAAACGTTTGACTAATGTACCGTGCTTGCTCACAAAGCTAAATGTAGATGTTAGCTGACTGACTTGAGATAGGTCTGGAGTTTGATCTACAATGAAATATTTCACAACTCTTTTTTTCACCCGTTAACTCAATGAACTTTTCACGTGTCTGAATTGACAATGAAAGGCTGTTACACTTCACATATTCTTTGAAAATGAGTGTAAAACACTGCCTCAACAGCTCTGATCATAAGTTTAAATTTGTTCTGCCAGAAAGGGATCTAACTGAAATATCAAATGTAAAATCCACAAATAGTTCACATTATGTGGGCATGCCAAGAGCTCATAATGACGTCTACAAGCCAGTGCTCTTCTCATCAACAACTCCTCGTATAGAACATCCTTGAATATTGCCTCACATCTAAAGTTAGTTTTATTAGGTCTGAGTCACTTTACATTTTGTGATCATCTTAGTAGAAAAGCAGGCAAAGGTGACCAGTGCTCTGTATGGAAGAACAACATGTTCACACACGGATCTGCTATGAGAGAAACAACACTATTTTACAAGGTAAATAGATCACTGCTTTAGATATTCAGGTACAGCTACTTCAGAGTGCTTTTGAATGTTGTGTGTACAGCAGCTACTACTTGACAGATGGTCCCCAAAGAAACAGCCGTTCTTCAACACACTCTGTTTGTGTGTGCTGCTTTTTCCTTTTTCACTTTCACAGTCACTTTCAATACTCTATTACTCATGCAAAATAAGCACATCGATGACAAACAAGTCATATGTTTTATGATAAGATACAGATTTATTGAAAGCCACATACGGTTGAAAAAATATCAAATGTGACAAACATTTTAAGAAATATTTAAAACATAATTTCAAAGATGAATAAAGGTAAATTCAGTTGATAATTTCTCGAAACTGCTTTCTGTGCTGTGTTGGCAATTTTGTACTGCATATGTCACATAGTCTAAGGATTAACAATATTGTTAGGCATATTGAGCATTTCTCCCAAATTACATACATATACAAACAGAAATTTCCTTTCTGCAGACCAACTCATGACATGATTCTAAAAAATGTATTTTTACTGCGCAAACATTTTTGAATGCTGTTTCTTATTTCTGTCAATTTGATACCATATATCAGGGGATTGACAATTGGAGGAACAATGAGAAATTCCATTGCCATCAAATTCTGGGCATCTTGTGGTACATCTTTTGAACTAAATCGCATGTACAACAAATCAAAAAGCAAGGAAACAACTACTACAACTAAAGAGAATAAATGTGGTACACATGTCTGCATAAATTTATTCATGTTTTCTTTGGATTTTAGGCATGTTCTGACCATGTATATATAAGACCAACAAACAAACATACAATGGCCAAAATAAAAAGTATAATTAAAAGCTGGAATAACAATTGTTGCCACAGAGGCAGAACAGGCTAGTCTAGAAATTAACCAATTCACACAGTAGATCTTTGGTATATGTGAGCCGCATAACCTTGATGTTGCTGTTGTTACTGTGCTTATGAGCAACAGGAAAAAGGGTATAAGCCAAGCAAAAATCACAAACACACAAACTCTCTGTTTAGTCATCACAGAGTGGTACACCAGAGGGCGACATATAGCCACATATCTGTCGTAGGCCATGAGCACGAGAAGAGAGAAATCAGCACAGGCTGAAGAGTGCAACACAAAACCCTGCAGAAGACATC